TTCTGGGAGTTGAAATCCACACATCTTCAAGCAGCCAAGGTGGAGAAACCCTACTCTAGACACAGATTTAGACCTTCAGCAAGAACTAGGCTTATCTTTGTGGAAATGTTAACTCTGGCTACCTGTTTTCCAACAGGGTTTCTGCTCTCAGCCCCACCCAGAATAGATTTCAATTCACTTTCTAATGCTTCAAACAAAGATGTGTAAACTTACTCTCTCCACACAACTGGCGCTGGCACACCCACCACGCCTGTGCACAAGTGCTAAAATTAGCCAGGAAAGCATTTGTACATACTCCAGACCACAATACAGCCACGTGCAAGGTGGAAGCTCAGTCAGCCCAAGGATTCCCTGTTGACTCGCACAGAAACTAAGACCAAATGGACACTGTAGGAAGTAGCACAAAATCAGAATTCTGCCAGCACCTTGTTCAACTAACACATTTTATTAAAGGCCTAGCTGGAAAACTACGTCTGATTTAAAGCCCCAATGGGAGAAAAAACAATGTCTTAAATTGTGTAATTCATGCACAGTAAATGCAAGTTCCCATTCTTGGTTTGCTTAATCATAATTTCATCATCTTCCTTGGCAAATACTGTCGCCTAACTCTTCCTAGGAAGCCAGACTACGTCTCCCATGAACTCTGACACTTGGCCACATTAACCAGTGTTAATGAGAACTGGAATAAAATAGTTTCTGGGGGAATACAGGTTTCCCCATCACATTAACTTTAAATAATACACTTTCTACTGTTCAGCATCATGCCCATCCTATATTGGAATAACCAATATTGTTACAGAAGTGTGTGATTTTCGGAAGAAAAGCTCAGTAGTAATGATATATTACTTCAATGTGGCGCCTTCAATGCGAACAGGTTTATATTATTATGGCTTATGCCATGGTGTGCCCGGGCACAAAGAAGTGAAAGAAGACCAGTTTGCAGATGAAACTTCAGAGAAGGACAAACGTTCAGAAAGAGCGTGGCAACAATCCGTAGAACTGTAAAAAAGCCAGTCTACCATTTTTGTGATAAGAAGAGTGAAATACGTTTGCTTTAAGCACTGATTGGCAAAGAGCTTCCACATTCCTAAATCTAGTAACAAAAACCAATAAAGTTTCTACGGTTCTTTTATAGCCCTCCATGGACCTCGTGGCTCACCCGCTCAAAATTATGGGGAAGCTCTGAAGCCACACCTTTGGGTGTGGTTGTTACACAACAACTGTCATAACACGGAGGGAGTGATCGCCTACTTATGAATGCACATCGATTTGCTGTCAAAAACAAAGGACAAAAGGCATAAGGGAAGACGTTAAGATTTCTTAAGCAGGTAAGTTCACCTGGATATGGATCAAGATCTTGCATCGTACAAATAAGTCCTGCTTTAAGAGGATTACTGAAACAAACACATGTTTGCTGGAAGAAATGCATGACAATATGTTACCTACAACGAAAGAAAGACTTAAATTACGTGGCCCAAACTAATAAAAAGATTAACAGCTTTAAACGCACATCTGAATCACCTGCAACTTTCAAATATGACCTGAGTATTTGCACTATTGACTGAAAAAGTGTAACTTCTTTCGATAAGAAGTCTGCAACCTTCTTCGAGGTTTCTGAAGAGGAGTTACCCAGGGAGAGGGTAATAACCTCTTGGTTGCAATGGCAATTAGAGTTACTAGCAATTGGCAGTATTAAACCGGATCACCATTGGGCACATAATGGACGTTTTAGTAGCACGCGCAAGAGAGATTCTACCTCCGACTCTGAAATAATAGAAAGTCGAGTGTAAGTAAACTAGACTGAGAAAGGATAATGAGATAAGAAAGAGACAAGCAGGCTTAGTTGTCTTGGTAATGCCCAGGAGCGTCTGTTGTTTTCGTGTGAGTCAAAGTCAAGATGATGGTCATAGTTCTGTCCCTTTCCATGTGTGGCACGTGCAGTGCATATAAAGTGAGGCAAGGCTTTGATTGCACAGTCATGACGATTTTCTTGAGTGTTTTGACCTCCCACCCCGTGGATGTCCCTGGCAATAAACAAGTTTTAATTACAGGACGGGCGAAGGACAAGAAAAAGCCCAATTCCTCCAATAAAATTTCTTTCCAGTTACTACTTCTTTCTTTCTAGTTACCCGTGTACCCAGTAGTTCTGTGCAGCACTCAGATTCGGTCTCCAAAAAGTGCTTTGGAGGGCGGGCGAGTGCAACCCGGCACCTGTCTGTCGTTCCTTAAAGCAGACAGGTCTTTTCGTGGTATCTCCCAGCCACAAAGCGATTCTGCAAAAGGGCCCGGGGTTGCAAGCAGGTACGACTTCTGTGCTCCAGAGGACTTTTGGGAGATCACAAACGTTCAGTTGTTCACCCTGGGAGTGCTTATTACTGATAATCACCAGGAGACATGCAATGCTTCTCATTCCAAAATGCACACCGTTTGTTTCCTTCCAAAGGCAGGCCAATTGGTGCACACCAATGGAATGGAGAAAGGAAAGGATATCCTGGTATGCATTTTTCAAAATCAGCGCGATCCTCAAGGGGCAAACTGCGTTCTGCTGCAGCTTTGGGGGCTGGGGGAAATCAATCAATCGACCCGTCGGTGCCCAAAGCCACCAAGTGGGCGGTGTTTCTCGGGGGGGGGCTCTGCTGGGGAGGGGAGCGGGGGAAGAGGCGCGCCCAGCCCTACCTGTTCCAGGTGGCATTGCAGCAGGCCCGCTGCTGCTGGGTCCCCCGCTCGTCCAAGGCGGCCGTCTCTCTCTTGCCCAGATCGCTGAGGCTGGGCGAACTCATGAACTTCAACCTGCGAAGAGTCCTCATGGTCAGATCGGCGGTATTGTGCGCGGCGGCTAGAGAAACCCCATCCTTTTCACCACACACACACACGCAGCCGAGCCGGGCGCGCCCAATGGGGGCAAGTTCTGGGCAGAAGGTCTCCGTCTGCTGTTCAAAAGTGAAACTTAAAAAAAAGACAAGAAAGGAAAACCAACAGGAAAGAAGAACAAAACAAAGAAAAGAAAAGAGAACCAGTCTCTAGAGAACGCTCCTCTGCCAGCAAGAAGACAAACCCCTTCATCAGGGCACTTCTGACAGGGCACAGCCCGGTTAATCATTGCAACAGGTTGGCACGGCTTTCTGAAGGGGCCCTTCCGGCCACCACCAAGGAATCACCGCGCTTCCCTTCTCCTGGCCCTCAACAGATGGAGACGCTCATTCAGCCCAGATGTTCCACCTGCCCCAGTAAACATTTCTTTCACTGAATTGGCAGAGGGTTCCTCCTCCTCCTGTAACTGGAGATGAAGCCGCCAATGAGGGGAGCTCATCGCAATGAGCCGCCGGCGGGGGGAGCTACCCACAAAATGTGACGTATGGAAATTTCACAGCAAAGTTTCACAACGGCTGAAACTCTGCCACCTTACAACACGCACGCACAGCTTCTCTCTCTTCCGTCGGGGCGAAGAACAAATCAGCTGCTGCGTGCCTGAGCCGAAAAGGGCCAAGGAGCCTCCTCTCGTCTCACCTGTTTAAAGAGGCCGTGCTCGTTTTTGCAAAGCTGCTCAGGAGAGGTCCGGCCCCGAGGGCTGACTGGCACAGGGCTCGGCCTCCTCCGTCTCCCTGAGCGGGGATGGAGATGCGCCATAAGGGGCCTATCTAACCACGTCAGGGTCTCAGCCTGCAGGCAGAGTGTTAAAGTCCCAAAGGGCTCACGGCACACGATTATCATCTGACTTGGAGCATCAGGCATTTTCTACGTATTCACTTCTTGGTTACGCCAACCTGGAAATCAAGGAGGTGGCAGGAATCCCAGTTTCTGGAAATGTTCCATTTTCATGGAAACAGGCAGGCAGAGGACCAAGTAACAGGCAGCACGTACTGCATAATGGTCATGGAGTTCCTAACCAGCAGCATTATTCACTAGTAACAGCTGTTTGATAAGGCACAAGGAAGCAACAAGAATTTCAGGACAAAACAAAATGTGCGCGCTGAAAAACAACAGCCAACACTTCCAGGTGTGCAGCCCCACGTGCAACCCTAGCCTGGAGGCAGGCCTGGTTCTCCGCAGCTCATAGCAGAGACTGCCCACTTTCCAGAAAACCTGGAAGGGACGCCCCGTCTATTTTCCAGCTTCAAGTGCTACCATACTCCAGGGCAGAATGACCGAGTTCATTCAGAAATTAGCCACTTTGTTCCGTGGGAAGATCAGCACACATACACCCTGGGACCCCTATGTTAGTCAGTCAGGGCAATCAGTCATTGGGGACAACAGTCACACTCCCAAGCTAGCATGTCCAATGATATCTGCTGTATTAAATAGCTAGGAATTGCCCCTTGCCCTCCGAATGTGTTTGTTCTCGCATGATCTGAGACGGGACTTTTTGGTGGGAAGGGCTGTCGGATAACGGAAGAGGCTTCTGAAGACTGGAAAGGCCAGAAGGCTATTTGTCAAAGCTGCTGTGCTTGTAGACTATGCTGGGCTAGATGATCTCAGGCAGACCTTTGGCCATGGAAAGTGAAGCCCCTCTGCTTTGTTCCTCTCCAGTTTGTCATTCTCACCATCACTGATTTGTTACTTGTTATTAATCATGTTTCATCTTGTTTTAGTTGATGTGAGCCACCCAGAATTATTGAGAGTCAGGTGGCATATCAAGCAAGCAAGCAAGCAAGCAAGCAGTCAATCAATCAATCAATCAATCAATCAATCAATCAATCAATCAAATCTCTGAGGTTCGTTCTAACCCTTACACTCCATGAGTTTATGAAAAGTGAGGCACTGAGATAGCCAAGACAGCTTGTTTGGGAGAAAGGACAAAGAAACACCGTCTAGGTGTGAGTCTTCTTGGTCCACCAAAATGTCCTAAGGCAGCTGCTTCTCCTTCACTGTCAAAACTTCCCCAAGGTGAAGGGCCAATTCATAGGCCTTATACAGAAGCAGTCATAACATGGCTCTCCTCCTACCCCAACCAGGAATTTCTCTGATGCTGTGCTTCACTTTGACCCATTAATGCAGCAAATGACTGGATGAAGTAATCTGCCCCTTGGAAAAAAAGCAAAGTGGTGGGAACGGTAACATCTCCTTTGAGTTGAGCATGATGACTAGTGACTTGGTAGACAATCAACATGCTCTCTTCTTAGCAACTTCCCCATCTAGCCTACAACCTGGAGATTTCCCAGTGTCCTATCTGAAAGGTAATCCTGCTTGGCTTTTCAAGACCATCTACCGGATGGAGAAGAGGGCAGCGTTCATGGGTCGTTCTAGAGCTCCATAAAAGGGAATTATTTCTCATTTGCACCTCCTTTGGTCACCTCCCTTCCAAGAGTTTCCCTCTCCTCTTATTCTGTGCCACTTGAGTGTGCAAAGAGATAACAGCAAAGGATGTATCCCAGCCACTGAAAATCTCATTCAGAAAATGCTCTTCTCTACATTCGGTCCTGAAGTTCAATATTCATCTGTTTCACAAGAACTCCTGTCTTATTTTAGGTCCTGGGAGTCAGACTCTCCTCCAGGAATGGCTCCGTGGCTTATTTCAAGTTCATCTTTGCGTCTTTCAAAGAGGCAGAGACCACCGTGGTGGCAGGGTTGGGCTTGGACGAGGGAACCTGGGCCACCCTCTTTCTCTCAGCTTTCTGTCCTTTGCCAGGCTCTTGCCAAGAGGATCAAACAAGGCCCTGTGTCTTGGGTCTTAAGAGCAAAGGTGGCACGTAATTGCAACAATAAAGAAATGCTGGAAAATAAAGCCAGCTCCCTCTATAGAATAAGGACCTTGAGCCCTAGCAAGATTACTATTCAGAAAATATAAATGTAAGAAAACACAGCATAATTAGGATGGCATAAAAGTGGTCTTTCACTCTTGTTAGACAGATTTTATAATTAATAAATTTGAATTCTACCTTTTGTATTTCTTATCAGATCTTAAAGATTTGACTTCTATTTGCTGCTGCCTATCTCATTTTAAAAAGCGTCCTAGCCAGGATTCTTGTGTTTAACCAAAGATACAACTAAGTTCTTGAGAAAAAGGGAGCAGAAATATTCAACAGTTGCAAGAGAAAACAACAACAGAAAACCACGGATATCCACTGTGGTTATAAATGTAGCAACGCAGATTTACACAATCAGATTGAAACAAGATTTCTTCCTTTTTTATGTCACATCTGTAGGAACAAGAAAGCACGAAGACAGGTCAGTCGTCTAATGGAAGATAGCAAACATTTTTGGGAAGTTTGGGACATTTTGGATTTTTTTGTTTAGCTTCAACAGTGACATGGGGGGGGATTGACATGTTAGAGTGTTTTTCCTCACTTTTAAAAAAGAAATAGGAGCATTAATGCTCTGGATGTGCATCTCTTTTCTGCCTAAAATCACAGAGAGCATCCTATTTTTGCTGTCAAAATCATAGCATGCTAGGTAGGAAGGGACCTTGGAGGCCACCTAGCCCTATCTCCTGCCTGGGGCATGAATCCTCAGACCATGTTCAGCCTCTTTGAGAGGCTGAAATGTCACAGGATGCATTTAGTCCACTGGATGGGGATTGCCCAATCGCGTGGGGACAAAATGAAGACTCCCAGTCTGGCAGATTTTTGCTTAGGTCATTTTGACCTACTGCAACACAGTCTTCTAAACAATCTAATCCTGTTTATGAGGATGCAGGATCTATGAGCCAATGTGTTTCAGGGCAAGATTTCCACATGGCTAAGTCCTTATCTCACCAAGGGCTTGTCCTTTCTGTCCTTAAGGCTCCATAAAATTCAAAGCTCTGTGTATTTTTCCACAGTTGTTCTTAATTTTAATCCAGGGCTCTTTTAAAGCTTGTAAAGTCCAGCAGATCCTCCAAGCCAAGGCTCTGGACAGCAGCCAAGTGAAGATCCAATGGGTGGTAGCTTTGGAGTAAATGTTGAAGCTTTGGAGTAAAAGCTTTGGAGTAAGACCCCATCCAATCAATCTTCCTGGATCAGAGAGGGCTTCCTATTCCAGTTCAGCCTCATTTGAGGAACAGGATCCCTGAGGCTGGAGGGGCTCCTTCCTACCTCAGCTGTCCTTCGACATCACTTGGGCTCCTCCCTTGGATCTGCCTCCTGTTCTTTCCTCTGGCTCTGACTCAGTCTTGGTGCTGACTTTCTCCCACAATGTTCCCCATGGCACCCAGAGGGGATCTGACCAGGTTTCTTTCTCTCCAAGTCACTGATGGTGCCCTGGACTTCCTCCGGTTTGGTTTTTTTAAGAACAATATTTCTACATCGTTCTTAATTTACTCCAAGTCACTGATACTGATTTAGCAGAAGGTAAGCAGGATGCCCTGTGGTTTCTACCTGGATGGGCAACGATCAGGAATTGTAGGTCTGTAAGTTAGACTGGGAAGTTTAAAGAACAACCAGGAAGAAGGGAACAGCAAACTGCTTCTATATTGTTGCCAAGAAAATGGTACAGACGTGGACATGAAGTCACAAGAAGTTTGACTCAAGGGAGTCCTTGCAATCTACATCTACGCCTTCCTTTCCTTTAATGGTAATCTCTTACCGATCTTGTCTGGTCTCAAAAAAAAAAAAAAAGAACCCCATGTAGTCACTCCAAATTAGGGGGTAGGGTAACCCTACCAAACAAAACGAAGCAAAGTCTTCACTCATGGCAATCTTTACTTGTCCTGATAGTAAATCCTTGGAAATCTTTGTTTCGCTCCAGTTCTCTTGGCACTCAACCCCCTGGCTTGTTCTTAACCAGAAATCACATTTCACTTATTCTGTATTCCTCTATTATTCTCCAAGAGTAGCCAGGCCAATACTTTTTTCCTTCAGTCAGGACTCATAAATCATGATTCTTATCTTTGCCATGGTAGCGTACAGCATTTGGAAGGGACTCAGCTGCAGTGGTGGTGGGGCACCAGTGAAACAGCTGAAGGACCAGGCTGGGGAGAGGTCCTCATGGAGCAAATCTACCTATGTGGTCACTAAGAGTCGACAATGACTTGACGTCACAAAATCAATCAATCAATCCTGAAGGGGGTAGAGAGGTACAGGGTACAGGTTGCAAATCTAGCTTTCTCTGAACTTAAAGCAGCCGGGGAATTTCCCCTTACTTAGCTCCATTTTCATTCTTCCTCCTCACCAGCCCTTGGACATTTCCTTGACAGTCACCTTTAGGCGGATCTGGGTAAGCATGAACAGTGCAAACTTCCTGATTCTTTGAAAAGAGGGTTGAAATTTTTGCTTAGGGAAAATTAGCATTGTCCTTAAGGGATTGGACAAGGATTCTTTATAAGTATTTTTCTTCTCTTTTAGAATCCCAATGACAACCCTTAATTGCAGTATCTGTGGGCAAAACCTACCCACTTATGCACCGGGTAGATGGGGATTTGCAAAACTAATGTTCATACAATTGTCATTCTTCTTAGAGACAGAACTGAGCGTTCCATGTATTTAATGTTATGCGCATGAACGCATAACGACTTCTTCTAAATAATTCTGTTTATTTTTCTTAATTTTAGGAGCAGCGGCACCTGCCGGGGGAATCCAAGGACTAAAGCCGTGTAGGGCTGATGCAATGTGAGTTCCACGCCTTTTGTACGTGCTCAGGGGTGCTGTGCGCATGTCTGAAAGGGGCGGAGCCTGCATCCTTACAGTGCAAAGCTGCTTTTCTCATTTTGACAGAAGCCATGAATCCTGCAGACTCTTACGAGCTCAACATCTGAAAGAGGGCACCCATGCAGGAGCAGGCCTTCGGTCCTGCAACTCTATCCGCCATCTTGCAGATTTTGATAACCTTCCCCGGATGGCGCTGCTCTTTAGATATTTATTCATATTTATTTCCAAAGACCCCGCTTAGCTCACTAGGTCAGCCAAGGCGGCTTGCCATGAGACTCAGCTATAAACTGAGCTTTGCTCAATGCCATATTTATACAGCCCAAAGCACCTGCCCAAATATTTGGCCATTCATTTCAAATCTAGGACTTCAGCCAACGTTGTTCCAGTTACTTCTGATTATCCTTCCTTGTTCTTCAGACTAAAATGCCAAGATACACAAAGGATGCCTAGTGCCAACTAAATGGAGGGGAAAACCCTCACATCCTTTAAGACCCAAAGCAAAGGGTCATTAGCTCAAAATACCCCATGCCCACACCCTCCAACTAATGTCTGGTTATGCTCCCAGCCTTCACCAAAACACAAAGAACAGGAAGACTGTTAGATCCGCCCTGTAAAACTCTGCATCACCACTAGAGGGCGGCAAAGAGCAGACCGACGAAGCGGCTACTGCCCTCTAGTGCTCATCTGGGGGTTTGCAGCTCAGATCTGGTAGTCCGGCCAACAACTACCCTGAAATACAAAGGGAAACCAAGACTTGCATATCCGTTTGAAAAAGGACATTCCCTTCTTGGATCGTTCAATTCCTTTTCCTTCCAAAACAAAATGCATCCAAAAAACCCTATGTAATTTGTTCCCCAAACTCAGTCCCCTGAGTGTTACCCTAGACCAGTGTTCCTCCACCTTGGCCGCTTGAAGATGCGTGGACTTCAACTCCCAGAAT